ACCCTTCCAACACATACCCCCTCCCATGCACAGACACACACACACCTACCCCCTCCAACACATACCCCCTCCCATGCACAGACAGACACACACCTACCCCTCCAACATATACCCCCTACCCCTCTCCAACACATACATACACACACACCTACCCCCTCCAACACATACCCCCTACACCCTCTCACACACAGACACACACCTTAGATATATACCCCCTCCCACGCACACACACACACACACACACGTAACCCCCTCCCATGCACAAACACACACACACCCAAACATATACATGAACATGCCCCAACCCCTTTCCTAGTGTACAATCGTGTACGTTTGTACTAAAAATCTGGCACTCAATAACATTGAGATTTATTGACAAACAACATCATATCGATCATGAAGGTTTTAGTGGAAAACTTTCTTGAAACTTGTAGATATGTGTGCTTGGGACTCGCATTATACAGAGCTGAATTCCTTTTTGCGATGAGCAGTGTGTATCCAGAAAAATATCAGTATCAAATATTTTTATTGTGTCTAAATTATTTTGATGTTTGTCTAAATTAGTAAAAGAAAATATGGAGAAGAATCTTTAAAGTGAAAGTGCAAATGTTCATACATTGGCTTAATGTAGGATCGCAAAAAAAAGGCCATCTGTTCAGCATGGACAATATGGCAGATACCGGTTATGTTAGATGAGGATTGGATTATGCCGGGTACATAGGGGTGGCGAGAAGCGTGCAGGTAATCTGTGAGAAACCCTTTACATGGATACATTGATACATTGTGAATATCTTTCTCAGATTATGATTTATCACGGTCAATAAGGGCAAAGTCAGGGAAACCTTGTTCTGGCACCAGCTCAACAATAGTTTGATGAAACAAATAAATATCGCAATTGGTTTCATTTGGTTGCAAGGTGTTTATCCCCTCCTGTGTTTTCTCTCTGGATCTGTTTCAGCGGTAACCACATTTTCTTGTTAGTATGTGATTGTTGTTTAATTTTCACTTGTT